CACATTCCTAGAACAGTGCTATATTCTGCCTGGCATCAGTGCCCTCAATCCCCTTCATCCTTGTCTTTCTCCTCTCTCATCCAACTCACAATTCTGGATCAGTCCTATAATATGCCTGGCCTATAAGCCATTCAGCTGAGATGCTAGAAATAATCATAAAGCCACTATACTTTCATGATTTCCAAACTCAGTTTGGTGGTTAACACCACGATTAATGCCTTTGTTTTTAATCTACTGTCTATTCCAGACTGTCTCCATTCCCTTTAAATCCTTTTTACTCCCTCCTACTCCACAAATTACATCAGCTATTTTCCTACTTCACAAAAAATATTGAAGCCAGATAGTAAAAAAACCTCTCCTCTCACAGCTATAAATTTATTTATAACCATTCCCTTATTCCCTTAGTTTCTGAGAAAAGGTATTTTTTTTCAAGGCCCACCTTTTCTGTCTCCTTTGGGGCCTGGTCTGGCTCCATCAATTTTCCCTCTCCTTCTCTACAAGTTCTTTTTCATTCAAATTACAATCATGCTCAGATCTGTCAACTGTCATGACCCTTTGTTTTACCCTTATTTCCTTCTGGTTTCTGCCCTCCATCTCTCCTTTCCACCTTAATCTCCAAAGCATCTTGAAAAAGTGACATTCTCTTGAAGTCTAGGTCTTGATCTCCCATTTGTTTAACTTGTTCCCTGGCTTTAATTCCCACTGCTCTGTGGAAACTGTTATTACCAAGTTGATGAAGGACCTCCTCATGGCAAAATCTAACAATCATTAGAATTTGTGGGTTTATAATAGTTTTCAAGAATGGCAATGTTTTCCCTCATTTTACTTAGGAGAACTCACTCTTTGGCCTAAAGTAGAATATGGTGGTTTGGATGAAAGGTAAGAACAGATAGACCCTACTTTCTTGGCTTCTAATTATAATACTTTAGCAAGAAAGCTTGGCAGTTTCTGATAATCAATACGTCTATAACATACAGCTCTTGGCCACTTTACTACTGGCATCTTATCTTCTAGAGTAGTTTCTTTCGCAGGACGCTGTATTTCACTTAAGGGAGAGACGGATGATAGTTTCTAATTCATGGAATTGGTAAATGATCTTAGACACTTACCTTCACCATCTTAAAGATGTAGTTCCTCATTGCAAGAGGAAATCCCAATGCCAGCATAACAGGGGTTTATGGGAGAAAAAAAAAAGAACTGTCAGCTTAAAGTATGTTGTATATATCAAAAGGGATATACAAATACTGTATAAAAATGCATAGTTTAGAAAACATCCATAGTTCAACAATTCTTTCTTCTAAAATTCTTTTTTTTTTCTTTTACGTTTATTTTTGAGACAGAGAGAGACAGAGCATGAACGGGGAGGGGCAGACAGAGAGGGAGACACAGAACCGGAAGCAGGCTCCAGACTCTGAGCCATCAGCCCAGAGCCCAACGCGGGGCTCGAACTCACGGTCTGTGAGATCGTGACCTGAGCTGAAGTCGGACGCTCAACCGACTGAGCCACCCAGGCGCCCCTCTTCCAAAATTCTAAATAGCACAAAGCATTTAACTTCAGTAATAGTTCTCTGGGCAAAACAGTAGGGTCCAGGAACACAGCATAGTTTAGCCTGCCTTGAAACAAAACACTTGGGTTCAAGTTCCCGCTCTAACATCTACAGGTCTGTAACCTGAACACCTAACTCATCGCTCACTACTACCAGCTGGGTGCCTTTAGCAAGTCATTTAACATCTCTGAGATATACCTTCATCTATAAAGAAAGGATTAATACCTACATACGAGCACTTTGGAAATTACAAAGGGTAGTAATGTTTTAGATATCATTGGAGCCACTTTTCCTCCTAAAAAGTTGTGTCACATATCCTGGTGGACATCCCTTAATTCTCTCATCATTCTTGGTAAATCAGTAAAAATACCATGTCATTTTGGAGAGTATACAAACCCAAGAAAACTTTGTTTTAATTGTAGATGCATTTTTATCTAGCCATTTTTTTTAGTAGGGTATAAAATATAATAGTTTATTATTTTAACTTAAAAAAAATCCTATATAGATCCAAAATTAACAAAGACATCAAATCTTAATTAACATTTTGCCACATTTAAGAATGTTTTTTAAGGGGCTCCTGAGTGGCTCAGTTGGTTAAGTGTCTGACTTCATTTCAGGTCACGATCTCATGGTTTGTGAGTTCAAGCCCCACGTCGGGCTTTGTGCTGTCAGTACAGAGCCTGGAATCTCCTTCGGATTCTGTGTCTTCCTCTCTTTCTGCCCCTCCCCTGATCACACTCTGTCTCTCTCTCTCAAAAAAATGAATAAACTTAAAAAATTTTTTTTTAAATATTTTTTAAGAAATAAAAATTATAGGCTACCAATGTGCCTCTCCCTCCTATAAAGAGAACCTCTGTCCTGAATTTTGTTTTTGTAATTCCCAAACCTGTTTTTTAAGCCTTTATTTATTTTTTAAGATTTTATTTTTAAAATCTTAAAATATACCCAACATGGGGCTTGAACTCACAACCCGGATATTAAGAGTCACATGCTCCACTGGCTGAGCTTGCCAGGCACCCTTTGAAACCTTTACTTTAGGGCACGTGGATGGCTCAGTTGGTTGAACATCTGACTCCTGATTTTGGCTCAGGTCATGAGCTCACATTTCTTGGGGTCGAGCCCCACATCAGGCTCTGTGCTGACAGTACAGAGCCTACTTGGGATTCTCTCTCGCCCTCTACCCCTCCCCTGCTCGCTCTCTCTCTCTCTCTCTCTCTCTCTCTGAAAATACACTTTAACAAACCCCTTTACTTTAAATAAATGTATCCATAAGCCACACACTATTGTTTTACATCAAAAAATTTACATACAAGAAATGAGGCCATTTAACTTGCCTTTTTTTTTTTTTTTAATAACCACCATTTTGGAGGGTAATTTGATTCACTTAATGCTGGCTTATTCATTTTAACTGTACAGCATTCCATTAAATGAATATAGCACAACTTATCCATTCTTATGTCACAGACACTTTATTTCCAAATTTTATTATTATAAACAATACTGTGATGAACATTCTTGCACGTCTCTCTGGCAAATATGAAGGAATGTTTACAGGGCATATATATGTGTGTATATATATATCCTAGTGGAATTGCTGGTTCATAAGGCTATGCACATGTTTAATTTTAGTAAATAAATACTACCAACTGCCCTCATAAGTTATACCAATTTATACTCCCGAAGACAGTGCCTGAGAGTTCCTATGTTGTTTTCCAACCTCCTTGCCAACATTTGATATTCAGACCTTCTAAAATGTTGCCACCTTGACGCAGTGTCTTGATTTTGACCCTGTTGATCCTCCTCTTTGAAAAACTTTGATTCCCCAACAGCATTGTTTTCTAGTTTTTTCTTTTAACTAATACTATTTCTTGGTCTCTTTTGCTAGCTTCTCTTCCTCTACCCGCTTCTCTTGGCATTTGTGAGTTATCACCTTTGTTTTTTCCCTGTGAGTCTTGTCTAGGCCACACCACTCACAACTAACTCTTCAAGATCGACAAAAGTCAGCTCTCTTCTAAACATCAGACCCATCTGCCTAGCTGCCTACTAATCTTCTGGGATTTACATGTCCTATAAACGCCTATAATTCATTGTGAAAAGAACTTTTTCCCCTCAATTTCTTTTTTCCAACTCTGTTTAATGATGCTGTCCAAGGCAAAGTGTTTTACGTCCAAACCCCGGACGGACATCATGAACTTTTACTTTTCCTTGCATTGCCTTCTGCCTTCCAACAAATCAGCTGACCTATGTCCTACCTTCTTAACGTCTCTTTATCCTTGCTCTCCTCCCCATACTTAATGTTGTTGTCCTTACTACTTTTTGCCAAAGGTTACATTCATCAGAAGCAAGCACTTTGGAGTTAGACACACCTGAGCTTGAATGCAGATCTTTGTCACTAATAACCTATGTGACCGTAAGCAACTATGATCAAGGTTTCTGTTAAATGGGAATGATCTCTTCAAGAATTATATCAGCTAACAAATGCAAAGTGCTTACTACATTGCCTGGCACATAGCAAAAGTTCAATGATGGCTATTATGAGCTCAGCTTGAGTCATATTACTAGTTCTGATGATTGGAAGCAAGCTTCCAATCTTGTTCCCCATCCTCATCATATTAATAGAATTCTCTCACTTATCCTTCCCTATTTCTTCAATAACTCTCCTTTGCTTATACAAAGCCAAATCCAATCTTTTAGTAAGTCATCTAACACTCTTTATTCTGATCCCCAGCCTCATTTCCCAGATTCTATTCACACTAGTTTACATGGTCCCTGAATACATGTTTCATGTATCTGTGCCTTTAGGTACATGCTACCTTCTATCTGTCTAGGAAACTGGTTTTTCTCTTTCCAAACTCAAGTGAGCATTCTGTTAAACTTATCTTAGTCCATCCAAACAGAAATGTGTACCAACTCCTAGGAGGGTTATAAACCACTGCTGCACTCATTTCTTGATTTGTCTGTCTACTAGCCCGTAAAAAACGTGATAGGCATTCATTAACTACCAGATGGATGGAAGGAAGGACACTGGGACTGGCCTAATATCACATCTCCTAAATAGCTTTAAACAGCAAGCATCAATCTGCCAACTTTGCTAACACTAGTAAAAGTCAAAATGATCATGGAGGATGGAGGTATTACAGGTGTTTTTCTCTACTATGAGAAAAGGGAAAACAATGTAAAGTTCTCACAAGTGTAAAGTAAAATACTAGGGAAAAAAAATTGAGCTGTTAGTACCTAGGAAAAGATGATCAACGATTTTCCTGTACTTTAGTCAACAAATAAGGATAACCAAGTTGAATATTGACAAACAGGAAAGAACATCCTTTTGCAAATGCTGGTATTTGTAATGAACACTTACTATGTGTCAGGTCTTGTGGTAATCACTTTCTATATAGTATGTGCGTTACTTAATCCAACAACTATGAACTAAAAATTCTTATTAACTTTCCTCAGGCACCTGTCCTTGGGAAAAGCTTATGTTTTCAACTACATCACGCTACTGTCGTTACCGAGCTACAATGGATTTATGCCAGAAATTTGGCACTTAGTCACAGGGTCAGAGGAAAGTAACCATAAAGCATTAAGGCCAGGCTTCTGTGGGAAGAGGCTAAAACAATTTAGACTTCACAGTTTGCAAAGGTGAGGGAAGATTATCCATCTCTACGCAATTAAGAATGACAATGAACAGTATCAAAACAACCAGATTCATTTATCAAATCCTCTAACCAGCCAAGAACAAGCTAGACAGAACTGATGATTGTCTGTAAAACAATTCCTATTCTATTAAAGAAAAATACTGGATTAGAAAGATTTGGGAGATCTACACAGATGTTATTTCAGATCTCACAGAGCAAGTTTTGGTTTGACACAGGATTGTGCAATATGTAAATCTCCTTTCCAGGTTCTACACTAACAGGCCAACATTTAGCTTTGAATTCTGTCTGTCCTAGAATCATGGCTCCTTTTACATCTGAGATATGTAATTCACTTGTTTATGCACAATTAGGGAGGAAAAAAAAATATGTATTTGATTGCAGCGTAGGCATGTGTGGCTTTCCAGGGAGTAATACCTCGCACCCATTCTTATTTAAAACCCTGCCAAGTCCATGCTTTGCTTTGGTACTCATCCACTCAAAAACTCAAGCATCTATCTATTCATGGCAATTATATTTTAAAAGTTGCTTCAGTGGAGACAAGTTAGCATGACATCCAATAAAACCATGACTGTTTTCTCTTTGAATACCAACATCTCAGGTAGTAGAACAGCAGCATGATTTAAGCAAAGAATGGACTTTGAAAACAATCAGAAAGCTCTGGACAGAAAGTTCAAGAAGTTTTCTCCTTAATGTAAGATGGGGAAAAGTTCATCTTTTTGCACTTACATAGTTGCTTCCCTCTTCAATTTGAGGAAAAAACTCAATACTATAAAATGCTTTAAATTTCATCAAGGACAATGGGCCCCTTAATGTAAGATGGGGAAAAGTTCATCTTTTTTGCACTTACATAGTTGCTTCCCTCTTCGATCTGAGGAAAAAACTCAGTATTATAAAATACTTTAAATTTCATCAAGGACAGTGGGCCTCAACTTTGGATGCACCCCAACCAGGATGCACCTGGGGATGGGGGGTGGTCAGAAGAGAAGCCGACCAGACCATCAGCACCTGGCCCGACACCAGATCATTCAAATCCGAATGGCCCCGCCATTGAGAAGGTTGTCTTTCAAATAGCTCTCCTGGGATTCTAATAAACAGGGTTAAATTTATGTCTTGAAAGGATTCCATTGCCTATCCTAAATAAAGATCAACTGTGGACCACAGCTGTTGGCTGTGAACACTGGCTGTAGGTCATGTGTCTAAAAATAACCATTGCAGATCCTAACCCAGTGTCTCCTTAGTTGTAAGGATTAAAAGTGGAGATACTAGGCTGTAGACAACAGAGCCTTGTAGGTAGGTGGTTGGTGTGTGTGTCATGTCTCCTCATACTATTTGAAAGATGAAAAGCAACTACTGAATGACAATCTCTGTAGTGACTTAATTCCACTGATGTGATGTTTAGGTGGGTGGCTGGTTGCTAAAGACACGAAGGATGTGAGTAGATTTACTCGCAACTTATGCAACAATGACCAGGCAACTGAAAAAGTTAGAGAATGGTCCCACTCATCTTGCTTCCTACAAGGCCAGTCACAACCATTCCACTGACAAACTATAGGAAAAAAGCAAAAATTAGATGTGAGAGATGTATTCAACCGAAATAAAAACGTAATGGATCTGTGGTATTTTGAGGAAATTCCTGAGACCAACAGAGAGGCACAGGGGGAAGGATGAATGAGAATACTCTTAAGTCACAGGTACGGGATAAAAAATTTGTGAGCCTTTGTAGGTGACCTGAAAGTTAACAGTACTTTATTGCTGTTTTCTACAATCTGTAGGGCAATATTAATATTCACAGCAAATTTAACAAGGATTTGAATACCTACTATGTACTGTCCTAGTTATTACACCCCCATACTAAAATGTACCCAGTGTAAATCCTTAAGATTTCATACATTAGAAATGGATTTACAGGAGTCTGAACAAAGCATTAGTCATTTAACTTCATACTGTATTTAAAATTTTTTTTTCAATTTTTTTTTAATTTATTTTTGGGACAGAGAGAGACAGAGCATGAACGGGGGAGGGGCAGAGAGAGAGGGAGACACAGAATTGGAAACAGGCTCCAGGCTCTGAGCCATAACTTCATACTGTATTTAGACATTTCTCTCAAGTAAAAAGCATCCTAGCAGGTGAATGAAAAATGCTAACTGCAATGGAATGCTTGAAATAACAAGTAGGGTCTTGAAATAAAACTTTTAAGTTCTAAACAAAAATCACAAGTTAAACAGGTGGCTTCTAAGGTCCTCCTCAGTGAACATCTAAACAAATTATGCTAACAGTAAACAATGCTAACTGAATACAGGTTTCTGAATACTTCTATTACTGTTATTAATATACAGTAAATTTTTTTATTAAGTTAATGAAAGGAAGAATTAGTATTTCACATTCCAGAGTTCAGAACTTAAAGGATCTGGGAGATATTTACTATTACTTCTTAAATGGCTCCATTCTCATTTTTAAAGATATCAACCAGCAGTCTGACTACTGGAAAACAAGTAAGTAGTTTGAAAGAAAGATGAAAAGTGGTGGCCAATTTAATTATTCATCATTAACGAAGAAAACACCAAAGTTTTGGAAGAGCACTTTACAAAACCTAGTGCCTATCTCAAGTGTGATGAAGCATCAAGCACCGGTATACGGACCCGATAAACCTACAGATGAAAGTAAACAAGGGCAAGTTCATGAAACCCCTTCAGGAAACTATAGTAGACTGGAAAGATATCACAGAACGGTATGGCGAAAGGCTTCTTGTTTGTTAAGACAACGCACAAGTAACTAGATATAGAAGGGAAATGTACTTATCAGCTGAAAGCAAGCTATGGACCCAAATCATATTCCAGAAATCCCTTTCCTCCTATGTTGTTTCCAAACAAGAGGATCATTTGTACTTCTTGAGGCCAAGCTGATTAGCAAAAGCAGCATCTTAACATACAGGAAACTTTTCATCACATATTCATCAAGGTCAATTATTTCAGTTAAGAACTGTACCACTTGTGTGAAATAATAGACTGTTAAAATAGACACAAAGGTCTAATATAAAAGCTGTAACAACTACTTTCCAGTCTTGTCGGATTGCCAAGTATCAACTTCACTTTCACTAAAGCCACCTCGAAACCAAGTCTATACTGTTTTTGGTGTATAGAACTCTATAAAGAGCACTGAACATTTAAGATACTAAGCTTGTCTATAGTTGACAATTTCATACAAGTTCTAATTTAAACTACCATTTTTTTTCTTCTGGCTTCAATCCCAAGATGGTGTCCTTTCAAAGACAACTGGATAAACGGAGAGGCTGGAAACTTTAAGACCTGCTTTCCTACCGCATACTGCTCCCTTTCCTCCTGCCCATCTTTATGTTATCATAAAAGAAGCAGGTCTTGAGGGGAGGTAGCAATGTTACATCAGCTGTATAACCTACAGTACACGACAAATACTCTCCTTCTTTACTGAAATATGAACATTTTCTCCAGAATCTCCTGCACACTACCAATCCTTTTGACATCCACCCTGTAGGTTGTATACTAAAAGGTAAAAAAAAAAAGTACACTTCAATAAATAACCTTTTGCAAAAATGTCTTATTGCTATAGTGATATTTCTAATCTTCCAAATTGGAACAAAACTTAAGGTTTCAGCTCCCTGTGGGGCAACACAGCCATTTCATGCGACTGTTTTTAATGTAGGTTTGGCAGTGGATTGAATGGCATCAAGAAACCTTGCCTGTAACTTAAAGGAGTGTAGCATGAGCTGAACAGGTAGCCTACCTTCCACTGGACAGGTTGGTCTTTCTTTCCATTCTCTTAGTAAGAGTTATTTCAAAATTTAAGGCTAGTAATTAGTAAGACGTGTGTGTGTGTGTGTGTCTTGTAGGAAAATTCAACACTTCACTTTTTTACCTGTCCCAAACAGATGCTACACATGGCAACTGAAATATTCCTACAAACTGTGCAGGACAGAGACTTCCCTGAATTTATCGTCACCTACCTGAAACTAGACCATGCTTGTCTGGCCTCTTACAATCATAGCCTTCGTCTCACAGCCCTAACAGCAGCACACCGTGGAGTACAAACACCCCTGCAAGACAAAGGCCTCATAAAACCCACAGAAAAGCTATTCACTAACACTGGGACTACTTTTAGCCATGCTAGTAGAGTTCACGCTTTATTTTTGTGCATCGTAAATACAGAAAAATGTTGAAAATGTAGGACTCAACTATCTAATTAAAGCTGAGTAAACTAACCTGGTCAGATCTTAATTTTTAAATGAGAAATGACAAGAGTAGTAAATATAAAGAAAAACAAAAATAACTTTACTTTCCTATGTTAATACAGGTCAAGGGACCCTTTCTTCTGAAAAGGGTTGTTAACACCAGTTCTCAGCAATAAACATAAGGCACTTGTTTAGAATACAACATCACTGCATTTTTTCCCACTTGTTTTTCTAACCCTGTTTCCCCCCACAGTATCATTTGGAATTAATAGAGTGAATGAGGCAAATGTGGGATGATCCAGTCGATACTACTCAGAGCAAGACAGTACAGTACAATGTTTCGGGGGTGCTGTCTGGACATAAAACGAACCCGGTCAAGGTCCTCTGACACCAGACAATGTATCCACTATCAAGTAAACCTGAAAGAAAATAAAATATTTATTCAATAGTTCCAGTAAAATTGGGTCGGAGTACAATATACATGTTAGGAATTTTAGCTCCTCACGGGTGGAATCTGCATCAAGAGTTCTGAGTATTTACGAATTTTCATTCTAAGACAGTCTACATCAGTTGAACATTGTCAAGACAAATATATGAACTTCATTTCAATATACAGTAGAGTTGAAACAGAATTCACACATAAACACCCCCTATCGTATGGCTGGTGCCTCCTCCCAACACCTCAGTAGTGGCAGAGGTA